CGAGATAAACGTGGAAAAACAGCACTGTACGTGGCTTCGGAGAACATGTTGAATGAATCTGTCCATAAGTTCATAATACAATGCAAATCTTGTCCAAGAGTGTCCAAAAAAAGATTATTTTCTTCAATTTACAGAAAATATGAGGGACAAAATGATCCCAATCCAGTATTTACTAGGGTACATTTCAAATCATGGAGAAGCAAGATGAATACCATCGCCGAAAACATTCAAAAGAAGGTGGGAGCTGATCCCTCCGTTTCTTTCTGCGGCGCAAAGAAACAACGTTGGGAATTCCAGAGGCTAGCTAACGACTACCGAGATCAAAACTCACGTTTACTTCTGGCTTGCTGTGACATACTATGGGAAAACTGCGCTGCATTTCCTTTGCACGGGAATGGAAACAGTTGACTAAACTTGTCACAAGAGAAAGTATTGCTCAAACTCACTAGATTCAGAAGGCATGACTCCGCTTCATCTACGCGCAAAGAGGCGGTTTCTAAACGTTGTTTTTCTTTGAAATTTTTTTGCACAAAGCAGGAGAGCTGACCTTACAGCCACAGACAACTACCAATGACAGCTCTGCTTGGAGCTTCGAAGGTGACACTTGAAAATTGTGGAATATTTATTCAACCGGGGTTGACGTAAACATAGCTGACAGAAACGGAATAACTCCGCACAGCACGCTGCAAAGTCCGGCCACCTAGACGTTCTCAAATAACCTGGCAGATCACGGAGCGACATCTACGTTTCGACAGATTCGGCATGTGGCGTTGTCTTGGCTGCTAGAGCAGGTCACGTGCAAGTAGTCGATTATCTCGTGCAGCAATCTCGGTGAACAATGGACTGTCGCGATCGCTATGGATGAGCGCGCTCCAGATCGCCATCAAAAGCAACAATGTGATGTGGTACCTATTTGGTGACGCACGTGGGCGACACCAATAGTAGCGACTGGAACGGATGACACCTGCAGAGGGTGATTAAGGCAGCGAAAATGGTCTGTCGCCAGATATCTCGTCACCCAAGTGCTTCCTGGGTGAGAGAGATTTGGACAGGCAATACCTTTTCCATGTTAA